GGGGACTGCATGGCGCGGCACCAGCGCGCACGGGGCTCTCCTGCAGCGCTCCAAGCCCATCCTGGCGAGTGAAATCCCACGGGATCTCCGCGCTCGGCGCCTCAGGAATGCGAATGTGGGAGCGGCATTCTTCCCCCCATGGTTGTGTTGGGTTTTATCCAACTGCTGGGAAATGCACGATACATTGTTGGGAAATTAAAGCTGGTGGCATTGCTCATCCTGTTATCCATCGTCTTTATCCTTGCGAATGGGATAACTGGGAGTTGGGAGGGGATGGGGATAACTGGAAGTTTGGAGGAGGTGGTTGTATTTTTCTAGCCCAAAATGCCCCAGACTGGGAATATTCCTGGCACTCAGGCTGGGTTTGGGTCCACAACATCCTTGTCCATGGATTTCCACTCTGTGCCCTTCCCTGTGCCATCCCAAGGCTTTTCCCAGTAGCATCCCATGGGATGTTTTTTGGGGGGAAGGGGCCTTATGTCCTGGGAAGCCTCAGGAAAATTAGGAATGGGAAAAAAAGCAGCAGGATGCTCCTCCGAACACAACTTCCTGGCAAATAAGCTAAGAGAAATCAGGTTTCTCTTGGATTTTGGAGGCTGGAAAGGGAAGGACGGCCATGGCTTTTGCCAGAAGCAACTTCCCAGGCTGTTTCCCAGGAATGTGGGTGCTGGGATTGCCAAGGAGACTGGATTCCAGCACTGGTGGCCAAAAACCACAGCAGCCACGAGAAACACTTGGACAGCCTCAGTTGGGTGAGTATGTTAATGAGGGATTTTCCCTCTTTTTAGTGAGCTGGTGCTTGGAAAGGGGAGGGAAAAACCTCCAAACCAACCAGTTTCTGGAATAGTTTCTCTTTGAATCCATGAAATTTGATTATAGCATAAATCCTGGGAGAGCTGCAGCACAGCACTATTCACTTGCAGAGACTCCTGTAAGGATTCTCACCTATCAGAAGGACAATAGGCAGGAATAAAACAATAAAGGAAGGAGTGAAGGAAAGTAATGCCCCAATGGAATGTGGAACCCTTTGCTCCCAGATCATTTAGATGCAAGCACAAAATTTATCTTTATTAAGGGAAGCTGCTTGCCAACAGTGGGAAATCCTTACAAATCACCAAGTTACCAGGACAGTACTCATGGAATCACCTTCTGGAGGCTAGAGCAGCCCATGGAGAAGCCTCACATTCCCACGGGTGGCTCCAAAGTGGATGGTACATTCTTCTTCCCCTCAGGTCATCTGTGCCAGGAGCTCTTCCAGTTCTGGTCGAGACTTCAATCGACTCTTGAAATCAGCCTCTGTGTGCTGTGGAGGGAAAATCCAACCACACACCTCAGAACCACCTCCCGAGCAGTTATTGGAATCAAGGAAGACAAACCCTTTCTCAAAGAGAATCACTGAAGAGTAGAAAACCACCCAGGGAATGGGAAGCCCCACTGGGAAGTCACTCAGGCCCTCAGTGCTGAGGAAACTGTTGGGCTTCTCATAGAAAAGAAGCTGAGCCCTTCCCAGAGCAAATTCCATCAAAACAGGGCACAGCATTTGGGTTACCAGTCCTGGCTTTGCTACCAACTGCTCCATGAAGTTCCTGGTGGTTCCCAGAAGGAAAATGCCACAGGGAATCTGTGGCAGCAAAGGAAAGCAACTTGGAACCTGCCATCTCCTGTGGATCTATGGGACTGGCTGGGAAGGCACTTTCTGCAGCACTAATTAGAGGAAGCTACATGGGGAACGAAAATAGTCCTCAAGAATCAGAAGCAATGGATTTTCATGGATTAGGGAGGGCCTGGCTCTGGAAGATCAAGGGTACCTGCAAGGCTAGAGCAGGCAGTAGCCTGAGGACCAGGTCTGTGTCTTCACAACACAGATCATATTCTGATTCCCGATGCAAAGGGCTTGATAGATTTAGACATACCTCTTTCATTAGCAGATGGACTCCCTCAGGCTGGTTGCTCTGGATAATTTCCAGGAGTATTGGAGCAAATGTTGAACTCAAACCACTGATCTAAAGGAAGAAATGAGAGTGCTGAAGGAGAACAATCCCAGAATGGTCTGGGTTGAAAGGATCTTAAAGATCATCTCATCCCACCTCCTGCCATGGGCAGGGACACCTTCCACTAGAACAGGCTGCTCCAAGCCCCATCCAACCTGGCCTAGAACACTTTCAGGGATGGGGCAGACACAGCTGCTCTGGGAAACCTGTGCCAGTGCTTCACCACCCTCCCAGGGAAAAATTCCTTCCCAATATCCCACCTAACCCTGTCCTCTGGCACTGGGAAGCCACTCCCCCTTAAGCTGTCCCTCCAGACCCTTGCCCAAAGTCCCTCTCCAGCTCTCCTGAAGCCCCTTTAAGGCACTGGAATGTCTTTATAAGCTTCTACTAGTAGTATTTTTAATTTCATGAAGATTCTCCCATCATTTGTCCTCAAACAATGACTTTTCTACCCCCTGTACCCAGGATTCTGCAGAAAATAGATAAGAAATCTTCTGGTTGAACACCTAAGGGCAGGAAATCCTCTTCCCCTACTTTGGGAGAAGTATTTAGTGAGAAAACTAATTAGATTTCTCTGTGCTTCGATTTAGGCCCAAATTCTGCTTGAACTCAAATTCATTGGTTCAGCTCCATTTGTTGAGGGGTTTGGAGAGTCTATGAGAGGAAAGTGCTGCAGAAGAACCACAGTGCTCTCAGAAAACACCAGTTCCTACCTGGACAATCCTCTGATGGGTGGTCAGGACTGCATCCAGCTGCATTTTGGAGCCTCTCTCTTCCAAGAACAGCACTTCATTCGTTCTGGTGGGCATGGCATAGCTGCAGAAAGCACAGGTCAGTGCTCAGCACAGGGAGGGGGCTGGCACTGCTTTACAGGAATGAATCAACCTCCAGCAGCAGAAATTAACTTTTGATGAGGGATTAATTATTCAGACAATGTATCCTGCAAATCAGGCTCTGGCAGAGGGCTGGAGTTCTAATGGGAGGAGATAAAGGAGAAGCTTGCAGCACTTCTGCCAGAAAAAAAGCTGTTTTAGCTCCAAACACCAACCTGGGAGGAGAACTTGTAACTTCTTTATGACTGAAGGAGAGTTCTGAAGAAAAAATCTGACTTATTTTGTAATCTCTGCATCAGGGACACATACAAACTGCTGCTGCAACACAACATTCAAAAGACATTGTTTCCACCTCAAATTTAAGAAGAGCATCACTGGATCAGCTTCTGGATCTGATCAGGATACCGGATCAGATTCTGCTCTCTGGTTGGTGCTACTCCAGGGACCTCAGGATCACAGAATCAATCAGGCTGGGAAAGCCCTCTGACATCATCAAATCCAACCTATGACCTAACACCACTATGTCAACTAGACCATGGCACTACGTGCCACGTCCAGTACCTCCTTAAACACCTCCAGGGATGGAGCACAAATAACCACAAGCTATATCCTACTTCTCACCTTTTCCCCTGCAATTTCCACTCTGAAAGTGCAAATCCTTTCCCTCCGTACACACTGAGCTCTGCACACCAAGTCCAACATCAGAGGGCACAAGAGAAAACACATTTTAGAGAATCACTACAGAGTGTTTTCATTTGTTTACATGCTTCTCCCAGTGACTCCAGCTCCTTGGGAGTACTTCAGGTGCTGCTTCACAATCCTCAGGCATTAAAACCAGCAAAGCTGCTATCAGAGTCTACCTGTTTTGGAGATCTGGGGTGCACTTGAAGCATCCTCTACTCCTAAACTCCTCCTACACCTAACCTGAAGTAGCAGGCAACTCACTCACCACCTTCAGGGGTTTCCCAAGCCCATTCCAGGCTGTATAACCAGGATCACTTGCTGCACAGTGTGTGTGCACAGCCTGGATCAAACACTACAAAGGAAAACCGGGAGAAAATATCAGCAATGCTTAAGCCAACACTCCCAGACTTAGCATTCACAGGCCTTTTCCTCAGAGGAATGAAAACTAACAGATATTTTTCCCTTGGAAGCTCTTCAGTCAGTGCCTGAACATCTCCATTTCAGCCTAAAGCATCCAAATCCAATGCACCAAAAGGGAACACAGGCCAGAAGGGAGAAGACTGGATCTACACATGGGAATATCAGAGAGATTAGGTGGTGCTCTGGTCAAGGGGAGTGCAGGGGTGCAGGCACAGAGCTGTGCTGCTCATACCTCTCATTCACCCGCACTGAGAGCCTGTTGCAGAGTCTGTGCACATACTGAGCAAAGTGCTCCACAAGGCACAGATCATAGGAAGTCATCTGGATGTTGATATCTCCATACTCATACTCAGTCCCAGTGTTGATCTCTTTCATCTGCACTCTGTCCTTCTTCTTCTTTGGAGTCTGTGTTTCAAAATAAGGTAAAATGGAGAGTGAGTCTGGTTTGAGCAGTGCTGGGAATAAAGCCAATTTTGTCCTGCCCACCCTGCTGGGCCTCACAGAATCCCAGGAGGCACCGAGGTTGGAAAAGACCTCCAAGATCATCAAGTCCAACCCGTGACCCATCACTGCCTTGTCAACTAGACCAGAGCAGTTAAGTGCCACATCCAATCTTCCCTGAAACACCTCCAGCGATGATGACTCCACCATCTCCCTATGCAGTTCCAAAGCTTGACAATCCTTTCCATGGAAAAATTTTTCCTAATATCCAACCTGAACGTCCCTGGCACAGTTTGAGACTATGTCCTCTCATCCTGTCTCTTGTTCCCTGGGAGCAGAGCCTGACCCCCACCTGGCTGCACCTCCTGTCAGGGAGTTGTAGAGAGCCAGAGGGCTCCCCCTGAACCTCCTTTTTTTTAGCCTGAGCCCCTACAGCTCCCTCAGCACCCACTTGTGCTCTAGCCCCTTCCCCAGCTCTGTTCACTTCCCTGGACACACTCCAGCCCCGTAATCTCTCTTGCCATGAAGTCTCCTGTGCTGCTCTCTTCTGACAGAGGTTTGCTGAACAATGCC